TATATTACACTACACACACACAGTCACTCCTCCATATATGTGAGTTTTACATTCACAAATTCAGTGAACCAAGGGTCAAAAATATTTTAGGGGGAAAAATTCTGAGGAAAATAATTACCTTTGTACTGAACATGCGCAGACTTTGTGCTTGACCCTTAGTCTCTAGGCAGTGTGACAACATGTGCATAGCATTTGCATGGTGTTAAGTATCCTAAGTGATCGGAGATGTTGGCCTGAGCCTGGTGGATGGTGGATCCATGGAGGGCCTAAAACTGCTCCCCTGCTGATAGCGAGAAGCAGCTGTAATGTCAGTTACTTGACGAAATGACTTACAGTATGTAAAATACTTAGCACAGTAACTCACATAGAAAGAGCATCATGTTAGGTGTAATCGTCATAATAGCTCTGTTAAGGTTTTTAAATTTTCTCCGTTCATTTTACAGTTAGGTAAACAGGTTTACAGAAGTTGTGTTCTACTAAGATTTTCTGAATCTACTTTTCTTGCTCTTTTTGCTTTATCATATTGCCTTAAGAAGAAATTACGCCAATTTATATCTTCACTTTTAGGGCACAATATCATAGAGCTGGAAAGGTCTTTCAGTACTATGTAATCTAATTTTTTTAAAATGCGGACAAGAGTGATTAGATATCTATAATCTGCAAAGTCATACAGCTATGTAGTCTCAGGAATAAAATTAAAGCTAGGTCAGAGAATTGGATTTTGGACTGTTAGAAGAAATTCTAAATTCTGTCCTAATCTGTTCGAAAAAGCTGAATAAGACCCAGTGCTTATTTGTACCTCCAAGTATCACTGCCTTTTGCAACACGTACACCTAAATTCATCTGCTATCTGCTGTTTGGGCTACTTAGTAATCCCTATTGTAGTGCGTGGCTTCTTTGTTTAATTCATTTGATGAAAGCATTTATTGAGCACCTACCATTTGACAGTCGCTATGGTAATGTGAAGGACACAAAGGCAAGCTTGCCTTGTAATTGGGCTCTTTGCCAGACTGCTGGTGCGTGTTCCAGTTTCCAGCCAGGCAGTCTGCAGGATGAAAGAATTCCTAAGTCCCTGGGAATGCCCCACACTCCACAGCCCACATGCAAATCAACAGCGTGGTGCCTGTGGTGGATGCCCTTCAGGGCATCACTTCTTGGTGATTTCTGAGAAAGTGCAGGTGAAATGTTATTCCAGAACCAAGAGAAACTGTAGAGAAATATTAGGGAAGATTGTTAGGCTGAGTTTTTCTCCCAGTATCCTTGTGCAGTTTTTTAATTAGACAGTTGAGACCATTGCAATCCAGAGGCTGAATGCCCCCTCACTGCAGTGTATACAGCTTGTTAGTGTCAGAAGGATGGAGCAGAACCTGGGCTTTCCGGCTTCTTGTTTTTCTGGTTGTTTCTGTTAAACCTGATTGCCCCGTAAACAAAAATGATAGTGCACAAATGGCAGTGGCTATGAGTGTGCACTCCAGGTTCTTTGTTTTGTTTCTTAGAGCTGAAGCTGAACTGAACTGTGTTTCTATTTCTAGCATCAGCATTCCTATTGACTTAGATGAGGCTTCTTGCAGGAGAAAGAACATTTCAAGCTGTATTCTCAGGCCAGACATTAACTTTGCTAAAGATTCCCTTCATGAGATAGCTGGTTCCAGGGGCTGGTGAGATGGCTCAGTGGTTTAAAGCACCTCCTTAGAACAAGCTAAGCAAAGCCCAGGGACCGCGGTTCAATCCCCCAGCACCACATGCCAGCCAGCCCCGCCCCCTGGTGGGCTGAGCTGGCCACACACAGAAAGAAAGAAAGAAAGAAA